ATTAACATTTCAACAACATTATATATTTGCAGAATAAATACAAAAAAAAACTTTACATTGAAATGTTATGAACATTAAGTGACTTTTTGTAAATATTATACGCAAATTAAAGTTGTCTGTACTACGCAGTGGTGTAGCGAGGTCGTGTGTCACCCCCAGAGGCGTAGCGACCTTTCCCGGCGACAAACTTTTAAATCTTCGATTTGTACCCCTCCCCTCAAGTTTTTCTCTATATATTTTGCTATTTTTTTGCCTTGGTGTTACCCCCCCCCCCTAAATGGTGTCACCCGGCGCGGTCCGCACCCTCCCCCCAACCCCCCCCCCCCCTTCCCCCTCGCTAAGCCTCTGGTACTACGACACCAGTAAGCACTCGAATATACCGTTTCTATAAACCAGGTGATCCAGCTGTTGTCTGATGTTGGGGGCACCATCGGCCTGTGGATCGGGTTGTCTCTCCTGAGCTTGTGTGAGATAGCACATCTCATCATTGATATCTGCGTGTTCCTGGTCGGCCGACTACGTGTCCAGAAAAAGTAGATCTTCAGGAAACTCCCAACTGATGAAGTTTAAAGTTTGAAATAATGGAACTTTTAAAAATGACTCTTCATTTTAAAGACTTAGTTTTAATGTTATTTACTTATTGCACTATGTAGGTAACAGTTATATATGCATTATTTACTTTACGCACAATTTATTCTATAAAAAAATATATTATTAAAAATAAAAAATAAAAACAACACCAAAGGGCTAACATACATTGTTAGACTTGACGTAACAAACCCAACCTTTCTTCACATCTTGACAAATTGATACAATTGTTTCTAGTGGGTTTTATAGTATAAAATAATCAAGATTAAAATATAAATAATGGCTTAATACGATCAGTAGTTATAACAACAAGGGATATTGCTGTTGTTTTATTGTGCTGTATGTCGATGTTATAGGAGTTAAATAATTTAATATAAATATACGTAAAATTAGAATTTAATCCTTAAAATAGAAAGACAATCTAATCAATATAAATAGGCTTCGCACTATCTATAAAGAAATATATTGTTTGAACGCTAACTAGTTTTTTACCTTATATTGTATAGTAAAACATCAAGAATGGCCTTCTAAATAAAATATATATTTCACAAAATTATTTAAGATACATATCAGTGAAGTATAAATTATTCGCCTTTTTACTTTCTCGTATACATAGTATAAAGGAAGTATTGTAATCGTGCACACTAAAAAAATGAAATTTTGACATTTATTGCCGTTTTACACCTCAGTACTTCATCATAAATGGAGAATAAGGGACTTATTTTTAAATTGGCTAAAAATTGTAAATCCAGACTTATAAAAATTTGGGCGTTTTACGCTTAATCGAGTCGGAAAAAAAACTGGGCTTTTAATTTCAGTCAGCATGTATGTGTGTATGTGTGTATGTATGTCTGTGAACACAATACATTGAGTACCATTACAGCTAGATTGATGAAATTTGATATATAATAATTATTATTTCAAATTCGTAGTTCTGTATCAACTTTTCATCGATTTCCGGTAACCGAAAGTGATACTTATACTACTTTTGATTTTCAAAAACTTATAATTTGAGAACTTTTTCAGATAGATAAACGACATTTCACTTGTACGTAGATTATCTAATCTTCTGCCTTCTGTAAAATTGTGAGTAATTTCGGTTGAACGGAAGTAGTACTTTACGTTGTTTTCGATTTCTCAAGAAGCGTAAATGAAATTATAAACTTCTAATATTCCGCACTTTTATACACACATGTTTTGCTGTTCACTTGATGCGCATTTTTTAAACGATATTCCATTCTATTTAAAAAGGTTAACTATGTAAAACTGCTTACAAAGCATGTTTATGTCCCGTAGTGTTATATAATATTATACGAGAAAATTTAAGGGAGATCTCTCTCGCTTTATTTGAGAAAAGGAGTAGGAAAAGCTTGAAAGTTAGTTGCCTATTTTAAAAATAAAAACATAAGTTTGTTCTTTGTTGGACGAAGCTATGGAAGCGAACCCAAAACAAAAAGCAGGCTGAAAACGGAGTCAACGGCCTACATGGCGCATAACAAGTTGACAAGTAATACTTAATTGTGTTGGAGTGATTACTTTCCAACACTAGGAAAGAACGAAGAAGGAGATGTTTTTACTTTTTTGTAAATAAAGAGTATACAGAAAGTATTGTAATCGTGCAAAAAAAAAAATCGAGATTTTTGCAAATCTCGACCTTTTACACCTCCGTGAGTCGGATTTTTTAAAAATAGTTTTGCAATCTTGTCCGTATTTCTCTCTCTCTCTCTCTCTCTCTCTCTGTGTGTGTGTGTGTATCTGTGAACATGATAACTTGAGTACCGTTAGAGCTAGGTTGATGAAATTTCATATACAAATATTATATCAAAATCGTAGATTCGTATCAACTTTTGAGCGATTTCCGATAGCCGGAGGTGGAACATTTTCTACTTTGAATTTTTCAAAAGCCTATAACTTGAGTACTATATCAGATAGATAAATGAATTTTCACAAGTAAGTAAAAACTCAAATTCTCTGCCATCTGTCAAAGTTTAAGTAATTTCCGTTCACCGGAAGTAGTAATTTCACTACTTCCGATTTCTCAAAAAAAAAAAAACGCATGTGAATGTATAAAGTACTAATAATATTTCGCACTATTATGCACATTTTGTTTGGCGTTCACTTGGTGTGCAATTCTTTTTTCTACGAGATTTTATTTTATTTTTTTAAAGTTTAAATATTTAAAATGGATTAAAAATCATGTCTATATCCCGCGTTGCCATCCCCTGTTGTTTTACATAAGAATATACGAGAAAGTTTAGGGGAGATCACTCCGGGTTTATTTTTTAAAATATTGCTTAACAAAGTCAATTTCTAAGAATATTAAAGCGAGAGAAATTAGCTTTCATATTTATAAATTTTATTGCTGCTTAATCACTTGAAGTTTTTTTTTTCTTATTCGGAACCAATAACATTTTTTAAAGAACATTTCTAAATAAATCTACTTATATGTATGGAAAACACAAACTTTTCTAAATTTCTTTAATTGTTTTTGTAAGTTGATGTATTTTCCAATTTTTATTACGTGATTTAAAAACAATATTTGTGTATATTCAAGTTGTCTTAAATAAAGTGAGAAAAACAAAGTTGTCCCGTAATATTTATTTAGATTGGTGGTAATTAACCTGGGTTCGATCGAACCCCAGTAGCTCGGCAAGTCCCTGTTAGGGATTCGGTGGAGGACAATCAGTACCGCGAAACTATTAAGAAGGTTTCGGTGAATTCACATACTAAATTGGTGGGGTTCGGTACATTCAGAAAGGTTAAGAACCACTGATTTAGATCTAACCCTGTGCTGATGCGAATGGACCACATGCGTCAAATTTGAACAAATGTTTTACCAGGCTATCCCTACACAAAATCAGTTTCTTTAGTCGCTAAATAACAATCATCAAAGTAAGCAATACAAGTTTAAAAATGGGAATTGAGCATTTTGTGTTGCATAATACAACCAACTTAAGTT